GGTTTAGGGTTTAGGGTCTACGGCTTGGTGATTTGGGCTTTGCAGTTTCGTGATAAGCGCGGATTCTTGATTTGGGCTTGGGGTCTACGATGTCAGGCTTAAAAGCAAAAGGGATGCCCGGAAACAAGGTCCTGGGAAGCAATGTCTACGGCCTAGGGGCTTGATTGGAAGCTTGAGAAGGATTCAGACGTGGCACAGGTTTCACCATTACTGGCTCTTCCGCCTCAGGAACATCGGAGCTGTAACTACGCTAAGTTGTGCAATGCATGCAGACCGCCAGCAATAAAACACATGGGAGAAGGGCATCAAAGTCAAGAACCCAATGGGCCTTAGCTTGCATTGATCCATTTAGGATTTAGGGTTGGCAAGGTTCTCAGTTCCTCGGGCGTGAGGGTTTCAGTGCACGTTTGGGCTTTGCTGTTGAGGAGTCCAGGGATTTGAAACTTGGGATTTAAGGCTTGCGAGTATAGCTTCGGGTTTTTGCAGTCACTCTAAACCGCCCTAAACCCTCATGCAGTTTGGGGTTTAGGGGCAAGTTCAGAGATTAGGCTTAAGCTGAAACCCGGATCAATTAAAGAATCCGTATCAAAGCCTTGCAGAACCCGATTCCAAGTTGCCTAAGCCCGAAACCCTAAAACCCCTGATCCGCACTAACCCCAGGACCCCAAAACATTGAACTCTACCCTAAACCCTAAACTCTAAACACGAAAATATCCCAAAGCACAAGACTAGACCATCCCTCGCCGCAACTTACATGGGAGGATTAAACCCTGACCTAAACCCTAAACAGTTGACAAAACACTATACGCTTAAATCCTGAACCCTGAAACCCCTAAACCCTAAAGCCCTGAACCTTACACCCCAACACCAAATCCCTTGTAGAACCCTTGTAGACCCCTTACTGAACCCCTTAAGGAAAGGAAGCCTTAAAGGAACTCGTGAAGGAACCCAAAGCTCCCAAAGTCTCGGAACCCTAGGTCCTTCAACGCCTAACAGTCCGAAAACCCAAATATAGGGTTTAGGGTTTAGGGTTTAGGGTTTAGGGTTTGTCTTTTCGGGTTTTGGGTCTGCAGACCAGGCACTTGGCTTTAGCCACTCGCCGGACAATATTCTTGCCTTGGGTTACCTTCACTAACCCAAAGGCTCCATGTACCTTTATAGCAGATACTTAGGCCTTAAAGTACCTACATAGGGACTCAATTAAGGCCTAAGTATCTACTATAAAGGTACATGGAGCCTTTGGGTAATTGACCCCATGCCTTGGGCCCAGACCAAAGCTTGGGCAAGCACACCAAGCTGACACGGGGGCTTGCTCGCTGTATCCCAAACCCAGCAAGCCTAGGAATACATTCGACATCAAGATTCTCAATCTCGTTTGCCAAAATTCTCAACAAAATCCAGATACTGGGCCACGACCTATAAACCCTAAACCCTAAACCCAAAACCCTAAACCCAAAACCCCAAAACCCTAAACTCAAGGCTTTGATCATGCGCCATCTCGCCTGCAGGCTCGGGTACTCGCCTCTGATCAGTCCCAGATCTAGGCCCCTGAGCGAAGGTATGGTCATATACGCAACTATGCCCTACGGAGGACAGCGAGGCATTCCCCGAAAGCAGGGGCATAGGCGGAGCTCGCAGGCCCAACGGCCAGAGAGTGCGGGTGGACCCGCTGGAGCCTCGACATCCGTTGGTGCGGGTTCGTCGCCAGCTTTTATTTTGTGGCGCGATCCTCAGAGTGAGTGCCTGCCCAGTGACCCTAAACTGGTGCAGTCTTGCAGTAACTCTGAACCTTCAGTTACATAGCATATAATTCAGTAGCCCTTCTGCGAACAATCCCAAAATCGCAAAAACCCCGGCACCTAAACCCCAAGTTAAAACAACCTAATGGCCCTGAACCCCAAACCCGAAACCCTGGAGCCCGAACCTCAACCCTAAACCCTTTACGACCCCAACCCTAAACCCTGGTGCCGGAAACCTCAACCCTAAACCCTAAACCCTAAACCCTGAAAACCCAAACCCGAGCATAGCCTAAATCCCCAAAAGCCCTAAACCCTAAAATCCGAAACCCAAGCCGGGCGCCTGCTTTTTGCAGCATCTCCTGGTGGTGGTTGATGTCGACACACACGAGCTCGACGCCTCGGCGTAGGGAGCTTCTTTTTGGGTTTAGGGTTTAGGAGTTTAGGGTTTAGGGTTTAGGGCTTTAGGGTTTTGGGTTTAGGGTTTAGGGTTTAGGGGTTTAGGGTTTAGGAGTTTAGGGTCCTGCCAGACATCTGGAGCAGAAACCAGAAGTTGGAACATGATTATCCTCATGCAGTTAATATTAAGGGGATCCCAGCAGTAATCCTCCTTTCTGGGATTCGCTGTATAAGATTTAAGAGGGGCCTATGACGAAACCGGGTTCCTTTAGGGTGGCGTTTGGAAGACGTGCCTTTTCCCTCGACCGTTCCACTCACAGCACGCCATCAAGTTGATGCTTCGCTTGTTCCCTTTATACACATGGGATCCAGTCTTTGATAAGGTTTGACCTTAAACCCTAAACCCTAAACCCTAAATTTGGGCTTCAGGCGAGTCGGTTGAGGGCCCTGCCGTAAACCTCACGTTCTGCAAATTCCGAATCGGAGCCTAAAGCCCAAATCCTTCAATCCGTCCTGTCAACGTTAAACCCCAAGCCGGTTTAGGGTTTAGGGTTAACACCTCAATTGAGGCGGCTAGGTTTAGGGCTTTAAACCCCAAGCCCTTAGAAACACCTGAGTTGAAAAGGTTTAGGGCTTAGCGTTTAAAGGTGAATGTGTGCAAATCCGTACGCCCTCAATCCAGCAGAAGTTGCCCTACACCCGAGGTTCGCGCTGAAGCCCTCCGCGTACGGGTTGGGCTGGTAGTCGGGCATCACCATGCGGACCTTGCCCCCAAAACCCCAAGCCCTAAACCCTAAACCCCTAAACCCTACTGCCAAGAATGTTGAAACCCTAAACCCTGAACTGTAGATCCTGCGTGAGGGCTTGGGGATTTGGGCTCTGCAGGGCTGAGGGCCCAGAAATCCCAAAAAATATCCCTCAATGGATGAGCGTTTAAAGTCCACGGGCTACTACTCTAGGTTTTTTGGGGTTTTAGGGTTTGGGGCCTAGGGCTTAGGGGATTGTTGGTTCTTTGGCTCCTAGTTTAAGGCGCCCACGGAAAGCGGCCTGTCAGGAACGCGATCCTCGTTTGCACTTTTACTGCTTAGGGTTTAGAGTTTAGGGGTTAGGGGTTTAGGGTTTGGGGCTAAACCCTAAACAAGGAACTGGAACACTGGGCGCCCGGACCAGGTATGTGTAGTTGTCCAGGCTCGTGGCCATGCCCTCCATCACCGTGTACTTGGGATCCATCCTAACAGTTCTAGCTGGACCCATCGTCTCTATTGTCGTCCCTTGTTTGTTTACCTGTGGTTTCTATCACTATCGGATCCTAGCCACAAAAACTGGCCAACCCAAAAACGGAACTACGAGATTGATTATAGTAGCAGCGTGGCAAATGCTACCCCGTTAAGGAGCTTTCGTGAAGGATCTTTCCAATACGTGTGTGTGTGTGTGTGCGTGTGTCTGTCTGCATACATACATACATACATACATACATACATGCATGCATACATACATACCTACCTACCTACCTACATACATACATACATACATACATACATGCATGCATACATACACGCCTACATATATGCATATACACATATATACATACACACACATATACATA